CTCTGGAGCAATGGAAGAAGGTCAAAATGTCTGATGAGTCCATTGGCTGGCAAGTTCATACCTACCTAGAGGGAGCCTCTGAATGGTGGCTACAATCAGCCAGTGGTGGCCTCCAGCACCACTGCTCAGTGAGACAGTAGGAAGCTGTGTGCTTCATGCCAGAGTGTCCAAAAGCAGCACTACTTACGGCCACTTTGTTTACTAATTTAAGAATGACACCATGGACTTCTCTCTGTGTATTTTGCCCCACCCACAAAGAAAGAAAGAAAGAAAGAACGAACGAAAGAACGAATACACAAGGATAGACTACTTTTTAATATTTGGAAAAGATAAAGACAGAGTAAAAAGATGTGAAATCGGAACAATAGATCTTAGCGACCATGCACCAATAGATCTGTTATTAGATCTCAGTCTACGACGAAGATTTAGCAATTCAAAGAACAGATGAGAAGTGAAATCCAAATCTATCGGGAAACAAATGATAAAGGGGATGTGTTCCCTCCTATTTTATGGGATGCCATGAAGGCTTTAAGAGGTAAAATTATATCAATAGCCTCCCACAAAAAAAAAGAATAGAGATGAGAAATGGAAAGAACTACAAAATAAATTAAAACAGCTAGAGGAAAAACATAAAAAGCAAGCTGCGCAACCCCTACTGGAGGAAATCAGGAAAACAAGAAATGAAATTAATAATAATAATAATAATAATAATAATACATTTTATTTAAAAGCGCCTTTCTGGTCACTCAAGGACACTGTACAGAATAAAAACACAAATCATTCAGTAAGTAAACATACGTAAACATCAACAAACAAGGCACTCTAAAATTCAAGGCTGATATGTGGTTATGAAGAGGTGAGTTTTGAGTTGTTGTTTGAATTCTTTGAATGAGTTAATGTTCTTGATGAGAGGGGGAAGGGAGTTCCAGAGTTTGAGAGTGGTGCAGCTGAAGGCTCTACTCCCCATGGTGCTGAGACGGAAGGAGGGCACAGAGAGATGAATTGAGGAGGAGGGCCTGAGGGAACGGGACGAGGTGACGATGTGAACGAGATCTGTGAGGTAGTGAGGGGCGAGGTCATGGATTGCCTTGAAGGTGAGAAGGAGAATCTTGTAGTTAAAGGGGCATTATGGAAGTTTGACAGCCAAAACATGTAGAGAAATAATAAATGTCTTCTTCATACATTCTCCTGCAATGCCCTGGTCCTGTAGAATGAGCCCTGGCATTTTTACTGTGATTGCCTGTTTTTCTGTAAAATCACAGAAAAAGAGAGTTGCTCGGGTCGAGCAGGCTGCTTCATGCGCGTTCACGCTCAGGCATCGCCCGTAGCGTTTGCTATCCGTAGCTTTAGCAGCAGAGAGTGAGGTAGTGCCAACTCAGCGACTTAGTCGCTGTTCCTCACGCCTAGTGATGAACCTAGCTACATTTTTGAGGACCCTTAGCTACTTTCTTCTAGATATTTCCTGCAAATTAGCAACAAAATAGCCGTTTTCGCTCCGAACCGTTCTTTGAACATTGTTTTTGCTGTAATCAAGGATATCACAGCTAAAGAGGGAAAAGATGTTACTGGTGCTTTATCTCATCTAGAAAGACAATGGACTCCAGTGCGGAAGATCCGGGTTCGAATCTAGATGTGAACAAAATTTATTTAGAGTTTATTTTTTACATTAATGATATGTTTTTTTACAGTAAGATGCCCAAATTTTTATTTGAGACTCGCCGAACCGCATTGAATTCACAGATAAAAAAGATGTGGGTTCAACTTTCATTTTGTAACTATTTTTCAAGCAAGGGAAGGGAAGCACTGTGAAGCTGACGGACTGACCCATCTAAAGCTTGGTTTATGCTTGAAGCATTCACTTTCCGCGCGGTGATGCGGCTCGCGGATGGAACGCGCTTCACAACTCGCAGCATTTATGGTTCGTGCGGCTCGTCTCTGCGGTGAGCCAATATTCTCCCAAACTGAACGGGGCAGCATGGAGCTCTACAGCATGCACCCAACACTACACCGTAGTAGAAGTAGAAATTACTGTTTACAAGATGGCATTTCAGCATTTTTAACAGCGTTCTCGTCTTTTCCGACAGTGCGAGCTATTTCTCTCCAAGAATTATTAACAACATGTTGATCACGGTGATCTCTGAGAGCTGAATCATACAAATGTCTGTATTTATGAACCTCTGCCATACTAGTTCTTGCCGGTCCGCCATGTTTTTCCGCGTCCGTCCGTCCGCGTGGTTAGAAACTTTCCGAGGTGCGCGTTGCGGAAATTCTGGGCCGTGCGGAGGCGCGGTGGAGGGGCGTGGTTGTTAAAATGACGCAAAATGACGCAACTTTTCCACGCGGAGCTGTGCGGACCTCGCGGACGCGTCAAGCATAAACCAACCTTTAAACCTTTGTCGGCTGTGCTGAAGATAAAGGTAGAGAACCAAATTATGTAATTAATTAGCTGCGCGTTCTCCTGTCCTCTGTCCTCCGGGCCACACACACACGCACACACACACACGCACACACACACACACACACACACACACACACACACGGAGCTGACTGTCAGCTGTTATTTTTGTTAAGGAGTGTGCACGTACAGCATGCGCGCCTCGTGCACGAGCCCACTATTGAAGCTGTCATTACGCTTTTTGCCTGAGGGGGCAATCGCGAGCATACAAATTCTAAACTCTGTAAAGTCCCTTTAATCCTGGTGTGCACTGGTAGCCAATGGAGTTGTTTGAGGATGGGGGCGATGTGATGAGAGATGGGAATTTTAGTAATGACTGAAAAATTAATGACTTGGCAACATATGAAATAAAGAAAAATGTTATTTATTGTTTATTTATTTTGACTGCTGTCTACTGCAGGTAAGATGCTGACTACTCAGCATTATACTGCGTGCAAGACCAATTCAAAAGGTCTCATCTATTCATTTAAGTGTCAATTGCAACATTTTTTTTATTTGTTTGATTCCTTCAAAAAACACCTGATCATCAATTATTTAATACGTATCTGTCCACCTGGTGTCCCTGCAGCAATTCAGAATGGTGTTGTTTTAAAATAGACACAGGGGTTGTTGCTACACAGATTAATGCAGAGCTGTGTTTGGTCAGCATAGATGAGTGGCTCATGTGCAGGGCTTTAATAATAACATCAAGGAGTTTCATGATAAAAAATTAGAGAAACCAAAATCCAATAAAACTAATTTTTATTTTAAATCTGAGCTGTATTTGAACCATAAATTTCAGTCGGCTTTGACAAAAACAAACATCAATGCAAGTCACGAGTTTCTCCTTTTGCAGAGTCGTGCTCGATTAATGACCGTGTCGCTTTTTATAACAGATTTCTTGACACATCAGCAAGTTAATGATGAGTCCTTCCAAGCTGGCTGTTTCCTCGTGTTTCCTCGTGTTGGGCTGTGATCAAGGGTGGGTCAACCTTCCATGCAAAATAAATCCTGCCCTGTTTTCATTAGGCAACTTTTTATAACACTGCAGCAGATGGCGAACACACTTACACACACTGAAACACATACTCCAGCCCCCCCGAGAGGCAATCTCACCTCCTCTCTCAAGTTTTCCCCATTTTCACCCCCACTTTTATTCCTTTTCCTCATCAAATTCCAACCATGCTCACTAAAAGGGTTCGAGCTATTTAGATCCTCAGCTGAATGCAGGAGGAGGGAGTGTAGCTTAAAATGTGTTAAATTTACATTTAGATTTCTGTGTAAGCATTCCCATCTGATGAATGTGTTGTTGCTGGAATGGAATAAGACAGCACAGCAAAATACTTGGCGTGTGTGTGTGTGTGTGTGTGTGTGTGTGTGTGTGTGTGTGTGTGTGTGTGTGTGTGTGTGTGTGTGTGTGTGTGTGTGTGTGTGTGTGTGTGTGTGTGTGTGTGTGTGTGTGTGTGTGTGTGTGTGTTTAAGAGAAATTATCCACATAGGATGTATGCCTCGAGTATCTGCTTAGTGCACATCTGAAGTATCTGTTGAGAGCTTCTGCCACGCAGGTCAGGAAAAGAAAAACACCCACGCAGGATGTTATATATGTCTGTACAGCAGGAAAACATTTACACGGCCTCTGAACTAATTTTACATCCATTTGGTCTGACTGTACAGTCTGACTTTTGCTAGCAACTTAAAATATAGACAAACTGATGGCATTTCTCTTGGTAACTTGCACAAAATTAGCAGTTTAAAGACTATTTTCCTCCACAGTTACTGTCATAGCATATGCAGCCAGATTTGCATAATCTTTCTATCATTATTGATTCAGTATTTCTGAACTGTATCCTAACAGAGTTTAAAATGATTTTGCTCCAGATTTCTGCCTGTGGACGGTGTGGGTGTGATGCATCTCTGTGTCTGACGGTGATAAGCATCGAGGTTTGAGGTCAACAGAAGCAGGATGCTACATGTCTGAAAGGCAGGAGGATTACACCCACCATGAGTCACAGCACAAACACACACAGCTTCTACACAGACTGTTGGACCCCCGGACGATAACACACCACAGCTATAAATTATGTGAAGCTGCTAACACTTCAGCGTGTGAAAGAAAACAGAAGAAGCACGTGTGTCGAGTGTCAGCAGCTGTCAAACAGCAGCAGGAAGGACGAGAAGTGAGATGGTAAAGAGAGCAGATGGGAAAATACCATCACCTATTATAGACACACACACACACACACACACACACACACACACACACACACACACACACACACACACACACACACACACACACACACACACACACACACACACACACACACACACACACACACACACACACACACACACACACACACCTTTTCAGTTCAGACTGCAGACAGGTGGCCTGGAGTGAGCGCAATATAAAATCAAGGGACTCCAAATTTTGCACAGATTTGACTAAGTCAAGAACAGATAACATGCAACATGATTCATTTATTAAATGCGTGCATTTGCTCACATCCAGCAGTGAAAACACGCACAGTAGAGTATTTTATCAGTTTAAAATATTTATTCTTACCTTTGTGGTAGCTCACTTGCTTGGACTGCATGGAGAAGGTTCCCATCACGAGACCCATGTTGACTTCTGCTTGTTGGGGTCTTGTGAGTGAGTTTGCGAGCCTCTAAGTTGTGTTAGCGAGTGTGCACACAGTAGAAGTGTGTCGCTGGTGATTAGGTTAGTCCATCAGCCGGCTGTATGTGTGGAAGTACAGATATCACTTCTCATGCTGCCTCACACCCACGCTGCTTGGCTGATTCTGCTCAAGGGTGTGTGTGTGTATGTAAGAGAGAGAGAGAGAGAAAGTGTGTGTGTGAAGGAAATGAATGGCACTCTGAAGCTACCTTTGTCTATACCCTGCCAGCTTCACATGACTTCAGACACTCTCCCTCTGTGAGTGATTGTCATCTCATCAATTCCTCTGTGTCCCTTTATGCATTTGGTCGTCTCTGCTCCCTCTTCCTCTCCAGCTCATCTCAGTCTCGCTCACTCCCGCTTTCGCTCTCTGTCTGTCTGGTGAGGAACGAGGGGTTGCACACTGTTGCACAGGGGAGGACAAAGGGAGCTGTGGGATGGAAATGAGGAGGGACAAAACAGATGGGAAAGAGGGGAGATGTGAAAAAGATAAGGAAAATAAAGAAAAGATGAAGAGAAGCAGGGTGGGAGAAAGAGATGGAATGAGATGGGGAGAGTAGGGTGAGTGGAGATAAAGGAGAGCCAGATTGGTCTGTCCCCCTTTTGCTATTCAGCAGGCAAACAGTCTGGCTGTGGTGTTTATGCAGCTTTATCTATACGAGTCTGACAGGTGGTGTGTGCGTGCGTGCGTGCGTGCGTGCGTGCGTGTGTACGTGCAAAATTGTCCTACCAGAGGGTGTGTCACTAGCAAAACTCTATCCGCATCTGACACTCACACAAAATTTTTATTGCATTATATTGCTAACAGTAGTTAGTCTGGCCTCAACAATCACAGTGAGCTAATCGCCGTTTGATGATCCAACACTCTAAGAACATGGTAAGTGTTGTGAAATCGAACCCTGATCTGAGTGCAACTCAAGCAAAACCGTTTAACATCTGGGGGTTGTGAGGGCTAATCACAGACAGAGTCTCATGAAACTGGAGCTGCAGTCTTCATAAAGTCCTAAAATTATCAGGAACCAACAACATTTTGTGTATTTCAGGAACCCTAGGATCTCCTAGTAGGGGTTGAGTACATGAATGAAGAGGAGTTAAGTGTCCGTCCCATGACAAGAGGGTTGCAGGTTTGAGCCCTGTCTGTTGCAGTCTTTGTATCCTTGACCTTCATTACCTGGTGGTGGTGCTGGTTGGAGAGACTGGTGGTGCCTGAGTTCAGCTGCCTCACTTTTGTCAGTGAACCCCAGGACTTTGTGTTATAAAGTGTCTTGGTGGTTGTAGAACCCGAGAAGGTGCTATATCAAATACAGACCATTTACCATTTAGTAAGAATCTTACCAATTTCCAGATCCAGATTTTGGAATAACTGTTTAGATCTGACTTGATTGACAAGCTAACGGCAAGAAACAGTGGTCCAAAACCAAAGCAAACTGTTGCTATCTCAAAAAAATAATAATAATTCACAACACCTATTCATGAAGCTTTATATTGCTTTCAGTTTTTGTTACGTACATGTGTTTAAAAGAATTGCAGCTTGTGTTTATTTCCGATGATGTTTATTATTTCGTCTTGTTCCAAAATGTCCATGATCCATTTACAGCAGTTAAAGTGGTTTTCAGTGAATGCGTTACTTGCAGTGTTGGGAGTAATGCGGTACAAAAGTAATTAATTACTGTAATGCATTGCTTTTTGCTGTAATGTGGTAATGCAAGGCATTACAGGGAAAGAAAATGGTAATATTTACTCGGTACAATTGTCAGTAACGCGGTAATTACAATGCATTTTTAAACCCAGAATCAAGATGTGTTCCTTAAAAATTCAAATTGCGGGAAACTCGAAGATCCAGTATCTGCATATATTACGTCATTTATGGACTCAGCTTTGCGGGCAGAGAGGACGCAGCGGTAACGGCTCAAATACTCCAGCTGCGTCCTCCACGCGGCCGCTGTAACATTCACAAAATCGCTCCAATTAAAAAAAAAATAATTCACTTGCGATCGTTCATATCAGCGCATATTCTCTGGTATTTTGTGCTTTTCTGACGTGCTTTGCCTCAGCTGAGTTCATAATCTGTGCCCCGGTGATTTCAACTCATTACTGCTGGAGCACCGCGCATGTGAAGATCCCTTTGGCTGATCATTAGAAAGTAGGAAGTCTAGGAAACAGTTTTTCTGGAAGACGGAGAAAACATGCAGCATGCAGGAAGGTTAGAGAGAGAAAGGGCAGGAAATTATCCAAATAAAATCAAGAAAACAAAACAAAGTGCTTGAAAAGAAAAAAGTAGGTAGATTTTTCCCCAATACACATTTTTACCAATGAAAAGCAATAATATATAAGCATTTAATATTTATACATGTGATAGAATCAGATCACCCCAGAAGTCAGTCCCACATCCAGGGCCGTATCAAGGCATTTGGGGACCAAGGCAAATATAGGCTTGGAGCCCCCACCACCTCACTCCCTGATCAGTTAATCTAAGATGGCAGCGTGCTGAGAGTACAGATTGTTGTTGCTTTTATTTAATAAACAATCATTTTAAAGCACTGTTATTATAGCTGACTGTTTTTAACAGCAATCCTAGCTCAGACACCACATCACTTTCCACATATATGTCATGAGCTCACTGAGCGTCACATTACCAGATTCATATTGAAGTTGTATTGGTGAAAGTAACTTAAAGTAATGCAAAAGTAGTGTAATGCCTTACATTTTAAAATCAGTAATATTGTAAAGTAATGAATTACTTTAAAATGAGGGTAACAAGTAATAAATAATGCATTACAGTTTTGAAGTAACTTGCCCAACACTGGTTACTTGCCCCAATGACAGTCCACAGAGTCCGTTACACACAGTCAAAGTCCTCGCCACACAGTAAAAAAAATGTTTGTCCCATCCAGCAACACCTGAGTCCAATCTGTGTTGGCTTAATTAGGCTGGTGCTTCCACAAGCAATTAACCAATATCATGAGGCAAAGCCTCCTCTCAAATGCGCAAAAAGAAATGACACATATGGCTCCTACAGAGCTGTTCTGTGGTATCTTGTCATGTATCCAGTCCAAGATAGTGTGTTTATATGGTGGTTTTTTTGTGTCTATTTAAGAGACTTTTTAACACGGACAAATTTTTCTCAGCCTCTTCCACCTCTTCATGTGCTCACCCCCTCTAAACCCAGGTTTCCCATCATTTCCGTCCACTAATAAAACGCTTGCTGCATATCTTTTCACTCCTCCAGTCACGAGGGAATAAAACGTTCATATTTTAGAGTTTTTCCGCGAGGTATTCTTCAAGCTGCTCTGTGTCTGCCGCTAGATATCCTCGACTCTTATATTTTTGAAAGTGCAATGGCGGCGCTGTAGACAACAGCGGCGTCCTGACCAATCACAAGCTTGCATTCTCTGTCTCAACGGACAGATGTTTAGAAAACAGAGTTCGACTCCATCTGTCCATGCGAGGGCTCTCCAGCAGGTTCACAAGGATGGATAATGGCGTTGCTTGCTTCTGTCCCAACGCAGATGGAGAAGTATAAATTAGGCATAAGTCCTTCCTGCTTAATGATCTCATTCTCTCTAAAAACCTGGACTTTCTGTTTCTGATTGAAGTTTGGCAGCAAACATCTGATTATTTTGGTCTGATTGAACTCTGCCTGAGTGGTTATTCTTTCCTTAGCTAGCCCAGGGTTCTGGTCGTGGTGGAGGTCTAGCTTTTGTCTCTGGAGACCATCTTCCATGTAGCTCTACAACCTCTGGTCGCTTTGCTTCCTTTGAACTGCAGCTGATTAAAGTTGGGCGTAATGACCCGTTTTACTGTGCTGTGGTGTATCGTCCACCTGGTCCAAATACTTCTTTCCTTCAGGACTTTAGTGACTTTTTATCCTTCACTGTGAAGCTGCCCAGACTGGTGATTGTTGGTGATTTTAACATTCTCATTGATGATGCCTCAGACAACTTTGCCATGAGTATCTCCTGCCTCATGGACACCTTCAGCTTTACCCAGCATGTTTCTGGCCCCACACACACACCAGAGGACACACTCAGGACCTTGTTTTTATCCTGGGTCTAAATGCTGACAGTGTTTGTCCTGAGGACGTCTATATTTCAGATCACCATTGCATTTTTTTTAACTTGTCAGTTTCTGCGTTTCCGCCTCCTGCTTGCTGTCTGGTTAGTTCAGATTTTCTTAACGAGAGCAGAGCTAGCAATTTTTCTGCTGCTTTTGACCCACCCTTTTCTTCTGATGAAACCCAGATTCCTTAACTTTTCAGTTTAAATGAGCAATGCCTATCCATCCTAGACAACATCTGTCCTGTCAGAACCAGGTCAGTTCCTGCAGTGAACCCTATGCCCTGGTTTAACGACAACATTATTTTTTTATTTTTTATTTATTTTTATTTATAATAATTTTCAAAAATTAATTTATACATGCATACATAATCCCCTAAGTCCAGACAAGAAAGTCATAAAAAATACAAAAATAAACAAAAACAACAACAACAACAATAAATACACAGCACACACAGGGACAAAAAACATCATTACATTATATTGTTATCACTCTATGTCAGGTTAAAACCTCCATTTCTTAGGAGTCAGTTATGGCTTTAAATGTTCTATAATTTGTCTCCAAATGTTATAAAACTGACATTGGGAGCCTGCCACTTCATATTTCAATTTTTCAATATGAAGGAGCCCTATTAGCTCCCTCAACCCGGTTTCTAAAGTCGGAGGGGAGATCGATTTCCATGATTTAAGGATACACCTTTTAGCTATAACCATTCCATAGGCTAATACAGTACACGTATTATGTTCCATATTTTCCAACCTGCCAGAGAAACCAAACAGAGCTATTTCCGGGTCAGGGTCAAGATTTACTTTCAATGCAGTGGAATGCCATTTACATATTGAACTCCAGAAATATTTCAATGCTGGGCACAACCAAAAATGATGTGCTAGAGTACAGGGAGTGGCCTTACATCTGTCACAGGCAGGAAGTGTTTGTGGGAAAAAAATGTTTTACTTAACCTTTGAATAATGTTGGGTTATTTTTAAATCCTGAACCTTAACCCTGAAATGAACCACACAGGAGAGGAGTCAATAGGTTTTACGCTGTGTTGTCAGACAGCGGAGAGGAGACATGCCAGAAGCCTCTCCGGGCCTCCGTCATATCAACTCTGCCTGTTCTCTGCTCCACAGTCAGTTTTATTGAAGGACAGGGAAAATGACAGAACCATTCATCACTGTTCACAGTTAACCAATTACAGAATTTCTAAGGCGGGACCTGCTCAAGTTAGAGTTGTCTGCTGAAAGCCAAAAGCTGACTCTTAATTTATGACTGACAGCCAGCACATATGATTACTTAAAGAGGAGCATTTAAAACAGTAATACGTCAAAATACCTAACACTGTGTATGACTTTAAATTGCACCAATTGAAGTCTAGCCTTGACAGAACATTTATGAATATCTTTCAGAGTTCATTTCCAATTCTCTGTATTATAATACC